CATATTAAAAAAAACTATGCGTATAAAAAACTACTGGCAGAGTACTAGATATGAGACATTTGCAGTGTCAGTCCAGTTCGACTTATTAATGCGTAAAAGATTGCATTGCCCCCTTGTGTCTTAAACAAGCTTAATTCACTTGACTAATTGCATACTTATAATATAACATCAAATTTTTATGTAGATATTTTCAACTTTCTTTAATTTATTTAATTTGTCATGAATTTTGTTTTTTTCATTTATAATATTCAGCAGGGGGACGGCCAAGATTAACCTGGTGCAGATATATGGAAGGAGTCTGTTCGAGACTCCATTTGTCTTTTGCCGAAGCTCAGACTCTGGCACAGGATCAGGAACATTGGAAGCTCTCTGACGTGTCTGCCTCCACGACCCGAAAGGAGAAGCGGCGATGGAAGATGAAGATGAAGATGTTAAGCAAAGTTATTAGCGATCTTGTCAAAGTAGTAGTTTTTTCTGCGTATTAGTGAAGGTTCTTGATTAATTCGGTTTCATCTTTGCATGGGATAGACAGCTAGATATGCTATTTTGCATAGTTTGTGATTCTCGTATCCTGTCCAATCTCCTTATATTACCCATAAAAATTGCTTGTATTTTTCTTCTTCCTTTCAATCTTGTGTTAGAAGTGGGTGAGTCATTAGATCAGTGTTACCGTAGCAGTACTCGTTCTTGGACATCATGGTGGCGTCTGTCTGTGGCACTTGGCTAGTTTCACTTCCTGATGTTTCCCGAGGTCATAACTTCAATGTTGTTTGAATCTTCCCTCCAATTTCCGATTTTATGTATGGATTTGATTGACAAGTCGACTGCGCCATCCTCTTGACAACATTCCAGTTCTTATACTGTTGCAGTGGCGCCTGTATGTGGTATTCGGCCAGACTCACTCATCGAGGAGTCATCATCGTTCGGATCTTCCTTTTGTCCATCTTATACCAGAAATTGGTGGGCCAGTCGATTATTTCTACGTTTATGTGAATTATATCGGTCTCGTGCATCGTGATATTTAGCAGTTATCAACCTTGTAATCAGTTCACCTCGTATAGGGTTATTACCGTCAGTCTTTTTGCCAAAGTGCAGGCTCTCTCTTTTAACAGCGGCTCTTTTTTCAGTTGTAGTGTTAGAATTATTATCGTATTGTTTTCTTTAAATATAAAATATAAATAATCTGACTGTAATATAAAACCGGTATTTAAGAAAGTTATTTGTGTTTGTTTGTGACGTTTTCCTTCTTAATTTCTATACTTTATAATATTTGCACTTAGCAATGTT